TTGTTTGTGTTATGTTTGAATTGTTTTTAGCTTTATTTTTTTTTTGTTTTCATTTAAATGTTTTAGTTTTGAAATGTTGTTGTATGCATTTGTCATTTTTATTTAATTTCTTTTATTTTCTTAAATGTGTGTATATATATATATATATAGTATTTATAGAGTTTTAGCTTTTAGTTTTAATTACTTTTTGGATAAAAGCGTCTGCTAAATGACTAAACGTAAAAGTAAAGTAAAGTAAAAGTTTTCCCGCGCGCGGGTGTTGAGGATGGAACGCGAGTTTTTGAATTTCTTGTTATTGCAAATTAAGGACTTTAACGATTTTTGGTTATGCTTTGCAACTGACCTATTATACAAGATGGCACTATTGTAAATATATGATAATTCCAGAGCTGGTTAATCAGCTTTACCGAGGAGTAAAGCGTCTGTACAGTGGGGGGTGGGAAGCAGTAGTTCGTTCACCTCATTTCGAAGGGGAATCCGGTTCTGAATCGACGCGTCTTCAGACGGGTTCCGAGAATGTTGTATTTTGCCTTCTAGATCTTTCCGACACATGATCATTCAGGTATTCCAGGATCTTTTGCAAGGATATGCATTCCGTCTGTTGGATTTCAGTGTCACCTGTCTTTCTCTCTCTTTCGGTCTTTCTCAGCATCTGTCTCTCGCGCTCATCATCTTCCTCCGTGTTTCAGCTGCAACTGTTTACATAGCAATCTGGAAATGTAGAGTTGACAAAACCGACAAGACAGAACAGAAATTTTATTATAAATATATATAAGTATATACATGAACTACTGAATATACTGTAAATGTTTTTTTTCTCTCTCTTTTTTGCTCTGTTCCTCTGTATATAGGTTTGCATATTTTATAGTATTTTACTTCTATCTAGGACTGGATGACTAAGAAAATTTAAAGACAAAAATGAAACACTGAATTAAAACAGGTAAACTCTAGTCCTTAGAGATGCAGTATGGTTGTAAGGTATTTCATTATGGAACATAAGAGCCAATCAGATTTGATCCGAACATTAATGTCACTTTCAGAACTGCTGCCAACATGCTTATTTATTTGCCTATTTATGTATTCATTCGTTCATTTTTTTTTTCAAATGTTATTTGTTCAATTATTTTTTTTCCATTTTAAAATAATTTTTATGTTTGTAACGCACTGAATATCATTTTGTCATTTAAACTGCTTTTTTAAAAATATTTTTTTTACGTGTTTTTGTATTGTGAGACACAATGGAACAATGCAACTGGCAGAATCAGGGTAATCCTTTATGGAGAATGTAGAACTCTTGAAGGACTGGTGTCAAAAGTTTTTGCTGCACCTCTTAGAACTGTCTGCAGTTTTCTTCTGTTCTTCGATTCCATGCATCTGTCAGAACTCCGATTTGCGTCACTGCTTTTTCAAACACATTGGGAAAAAAGGAAGAAAAACTGCACTAATCCATCAGACTCTCAGCAACTCTGGTTTTATAGCCGTTCTTCATTAGCACTAACTGTCTTCAACTCGTCAGAACTTACAGAAACAATGCAGTAAAATGGGGTTTAAAAAAAAAATACCAAAAAAAAAAAAGATTTTCAGACATTTTGAGCACAGTTGAGCGTGCTGGGTGGTATCTGTGGATTTTTGCCAAGCCTATCACAAAGAGATTGAGCTGTATTAGCAGTCGGAGTGCTGCCGCAGCTCCTGCTCTGTTCTCAACTCCACGTTTCTCTGGTCCCTAGACTCTCTTTTGTAATTTTACTGAATGACGCGTTTCCGCTTAAGCCCAGTAATAAAGCACAGTGTAGAATAAAGCAGCATTATGCTTGTCCCATTTCCTGCTGTATGTCTATACAAGCCTTTTTATGAGTTGTTTTTATCTCTTTCTCTCTTTTTATGGATTTGTGGCACGACTGATGTACTCTGAAACCACTTCAAAGGCGGAGGGTTTACATGCACACACACACGGGTGCCTCTCTGAAACTTTCTTTACAACACTTCAGATCAAATTAGACCAATAGCCCTGGAGCGATGTTTGGCTGAATCCCATTGCATATACTGATGCTCCCAGATAGAGTATGAAGTATCAAAGCATATATGCGGTGTATATTGGAAGAGCAGGGGAATAGGAAAGTGAGGGGACGCATTAAAAATCATGCTACACCCCCTGTGGAAAAAAAAAAAATTTGTTAATATATGCAGAAAATTCAATGACTCATGAATATTGTGGAAAACACAGTGCTGACTAGAAATGCATCTTACTGACTAGTCACTGTTATGAGAATTTCTCATTTCATCAGCTGACAGTGGGATTATGCCTTACAGATCACAGCAACTGTTCTTCAGAAGCTCTTTAAACATATATGTTGCCAAGTTAGTTCCTTGGAAAGCCTATGGACTTTAATGGTGCTGCTGCCCAACCATCTGTGACTGAATAAACAACACCATTTATTAATAAACATTTTATTAAGGCAAAAATAAACCATTTATTTATTATCTTAAAATTAAGACCATAATTATTTCAAGACACTAAACACATTTAAAAGGCAGAATTAAGAGCTCATGAATAATTAATGATCATTCAAACCCAGTTATTCCAATAATCAACCTGAATCGCCTTTATAACCCTTCAACAGATGAAAAAGATGTCTTCTAAGATCTCACTCTCCTCCAGGTCTTGCATAGAGGACCGACTGGGGCCAAAATGAGAGAGAAGGGTCTTCTGAGAGGACTGAGGGGCAACGGAGTATATATATATATATATATATAGTATTTATAGAGTTTTAGCTTTTAGTTTTAATTACTTTTTGGATAAAAGCGTCTGCTAAATGACTAAACGTAAAAGTAAAGTAAAGTAAAAGTTTTCCCGCGCGCGGGTGTTGAGGATGGAACGCGAGTTTTTGAATTTCTTGTTATTGCAAATTAAGGACTTTAACGATTTTTGGTTATGCTTTGCAACTGACCTATTATACAAGATGGCACTATTGTAAATATATGATAATTCCAGAGCTGGTTAATCAGCTTTACCGAGGAGTAAAGCGTCTGTACAGTGGGGGGTGGGAAGCAGTAGTTAGT